ATCATTTTCAGAGCTGCAGTTTTGAACTAGAGTACCTGTCTCATCTCTGCAGTGTTCATTACAAAAGAGAGCACACCCTACGCAGTTGTTTGTCCAGGAAGGCTGTTATTATACTTAAACTGCTGTCTTTTCTGGGCTTAACCAGTTTTGCTGTTGCTTTCCTGGCACTGGGATGCTTGTGCTTTCAGGAGCAAAATTGGATCTAAGACCCACAGACTGATGCAGAAACTTACTCCAGGTAACAAAGCAGTGCTGGGATAGGAGCCTGTGTGGCCAGTCCCAGGAGTTCTGTGGGGGAAGCAGGGAGGTGGATGATGCCCTGAAGCTCTGCAGGAGGTTGTGGTACCTATTTCCAGATAAGTCTGAAACATTGGCCTTGGCAGTTGTAGCAGTGGGAAAAGTAGATGAAAAGGACCTTGGAGAGGCTGTCTGGCCCTGCCCCCTCATTACCAGATCTTGTGGAGATGAAGAGGGAGAAGGTATGAAGACCCAAGGTCCAAGGGTCTCCTTCAGAAGGACCAGTGTGCAAGAGCTGCTTGGCGAACTGAAAGGTGACAGATGGCCTTTGCTGTGGGGAGTGCCACCACCATGGGTCAGCTATTCTCTCAGGCCATTTGCCTCCCTGTAGTAACAGTTTTGAGTAGTTTGGCTTGCTGAGGAGGTTGTTATTCTTACCAGGAATCTGTCCTTGCCTTGGGACTCACGATATCTCTCTGTGCCTTGTAGGGCAGGCGTGTGCCTGATTTACCCCACAGCATGGCTGCTGGGGTTTCTGCCTGTCTGCATCTACGTGAGATCTGATCGCATGCTGTGGAAGGAAATGAATGCATGCTGGCCAGGCCAGTCCTGTCATACACTCCCAAAGGTTTGCTTGTTTGGGGGAAAGGGTGTGAGACACACGTGGAAACCAGGCTGTCTGCAGTGCAGATGTGGTGAATTGAAAACCAGACCATAACTGCCACAGTGCTGGAGTCTTTGCTGTGGGGTAGGGGCAGGTTGCTTTAGTTATCTTTGTTTCCCCAGTTATATCAAAAGCCTCTTTTCTTTTTTTTTTTGCTTTGCTTTTTGCTATTGCAATTCATTTATTCTAAAACCTCAAGAATAAATCCTCAAGGAAGAGAAATGATTTTTTTTTTCTATTGCTGAATCAGTTAATATACCCTGCCAGGTCCTATGCTCTTCGTTGGTAATGTTACATCTGAGACCAAAAATCCCCTCGAGGTTCAAAGTCACTTTGGCCCAGCTGCATACATCAGCCCTAGAACACAAAGGGCTATAATGGAAAGAGAAGCAATTTGTGTGGATATGTTTTCAGACTTCATACATTCAAAGACTTATAATGTCCAAAGGGAAGAGCAAGAGAATTAAATACCAACGAGCAGAGATAGATGAGCCCTTCACAAGTCATTTTTCAACACAATAAAATACAAACTACCAGGAGCTTTTGAGAATTTGTTGAAAACAGAAAGAAATCATCTTTGTGTCTTTGTGCTGAGTATTACTTAAACTCACACCTCTCTTAAGCACACATTTGATTAAATCTTCATCCAGCCTGGTCTTCCTGTGGGGATCTTAAAAGAACCAGTAAAATCTCTAGTGACATAACCTTATGCACAACAGCCCAGGTTGTGCCAAGTTATGAGTTTTCTGTACAAGCTTGCAAAATGGATCAATCAAGCTTTCTGAGTATCATCTGTCCTGTTGTTTCTGTTGATTTTTATTTTTTTTTCATTCATCCTGTCAAACCAAAGCTTTGCTATCAGAAATGTATTTACCACACCTGTAACAGTCAGTGGGAGCCCAGGATTTGTATCCAGGGTTTGAAATTGGACCTCTAGTTTCCTACACGATACTGTGCAGGGCTGATTGTATTGCATGAGACTGTTCCAGGTCACCTGGGGCCTGTACAGGAGCTGGTGAAATAAAACCCTGGGCTGCACCACAATTGGGATCCCTGGAGCAAACCCCACTTTTTTGCTTTATTTATGTACTTGTTCCTGCTTGTCTGCGTTTCTCTTCAATAAGCAGATCACACAGTCCACACTTTCCTCTAAGTCTTTTACTACAGTAACACTGTCTGTGTTCATGCCAGCAGCCCTCAGATCATGATGACCTTTTTGGTCTGTAGAAATGAATCATTCCTAGTGTGTGTGCACACATTCTGATGATATTACACTATCAGAAGACCTTTGTGATTGCATATTGCTCACACAGCAAAGCTGTCAGGGGCTTGGTGCTCTTACAGGCCTTCTCCTAAGCCGTGCAGTCCATTATCGACCCACACAGAAAATATCATAGGGCTGCCCCAGAGAGTGATGGATAAGAAAGAAAACCAGAGAGTCTGAACAAGGGCATGTATTAAGCAATATGGGAAGACACATTTTTGAAAACATTGTGTATATCATTAACATTATTAATAGTAACTTTGAAGTCACCAGAATCTTGCCAGAATCATAATCAGACAATATACTGTGCATGAGACGTGGTATATGTCAAAGGGGGAAGTACTAATTAGGTAAATTTATCTCCGTTGCTCATGAGGTGAGCTCAAGGTGTGGGCTTTGGCAATACAAACACAATGACTAAAATCATATGCTGCTGGACTGCAGCAAAACCTATCCTATCTTGATATAAACAAATAAAGAAAATCCAATAAGCCTCTGCATATAAGGCAGCTTGAACACACCGGAGAACATATTTTCACCATGAAGATGTTAAATAATGCTTACTTAATAAATGCTTTATGTGTGAGTTACAGGAGAATCAGTGTTCACAACGAGGGATTCAGCAGAGCTGCATGGCTCAAGCAGCTTTTTTCTCAGTCAAAAAACTTGAAGCTGATATCACAGACACATTTTCTGTCTATCATCTCAGGTGTCTTTGAAGTATGGGGTGCCTGGAAGTAACTCATAAGTAAACCTGAATTTGATAGACTATGTTGTGTGACACTTACCTCTGTAATTGTCTTAACAAAGCAGTGGCTCAACAGGGCATTCCCTGGTAGTCTTTACCCTCTGGATAGCCATATTTCAGCCAAGTAGTTTGGAGTAGTTTTCTTGTTCTAGCCCAGATGGTCTTGCATGCTATGTTAAAGCATATGTTGCTCTGAAAGTATAATAATGTTGATCTTGAAATAGGGCACAACATAGTAAAGGGAAAGTGGGTTTGAAGTAATTGTTTTTCAATAATTAGTCACACTAGGGAGCTCAAAACAAGAAAGAAGTTATTGATGGTTAAGTCCACACGGTCTGTTGAGATTTGCCTCAAGTACTAACTCACCAGCCTGTACCATGAGTTTCCAAGCGTGGCTATCAGGGCAAGGCAGCACTTCAAGAGACCATGGGACCTTAGACATGGATTCTTTAGAATCACTCTTATTACTTAGAGCTTGAGATAGCAGAGTTTCTCTGAATTCACAGTAGTCACTTCACTTCCAGTTTGATTTGGCTGATCTTGTGCATGTTGCTCACACTGGCGTCTTTGGCTGCAGACCTCCAAAAGACACCCCTGTCCCTGGTCCACCCCACTGTGCTGAGGAGCCCATCTTTGAAGAGCCATGGGGAGCTGGGACTGAACATCATGGACTCAGGCAGCAGCAGAACAACTCCAAGAAATAGATCCTGGTCTGGAGTGAGGATAAGGGTGTCAGTTCCCTGGGAAGATAACACAAATGGAAATGCTGAAGGCTACTTCTGAGGCTCTTCATCTTGTATTGTGGGCTTACCCTAGATTTCCTCCCCTCTTGCCTGGAGAGAGTATAAATGTGTTAAGTTTTCAAACTCAAGCATAAGCATGCTGGAGCTGGAGAGGGACTGAAGCATGCTGAGGGATGCTGTAACATAAAGATCACAGCTGGAAATCCATTGCTACAACAGGTAAAGAGACAGATGTGAGTGAAGTCTTCTGGCTGGGGCAATTGCTCGCCACTTTGTAGCTTGACTTGTGACATCACAAGAAAGAGGTCCTTCTGCAAGACAGTAAATTCCTTACTTTGACCTGTTAGTGCCAGAGATCCATGCAATGCAGGAACGGTCGCATAGCATTTACCTGACTCGTGTTTCCTCATCTGTGAAAGGGTGGCAAGGATTCTGGTTCCCAGTGCACCCGGGAAGTGTCACAGATCCTGCCCTGGACTTTCACCTTTACTATATCTGATGCTGCTCTCACTAACAGCAAGGATCCCTGAGAGTTCACAGAGTCTCTGTAAGCAAGCCAAATACAATGGCACACCAAAAAAAAAGGAAAGGGGAAAAAAAAAAGGCACACAGACACCTGCTGTGAGTTTATTCTGACAAGTGTCATTTAGATGCAATAAGCTGTGATCATCTCCCCGGCATGGCTGCAAACAGAAAGGAGCCAACTGGGTAAACAAACCCAGGTGCTGAGGAGTAGAGTGTGGCTTCTTCCACTGGGTTTGGGGGCTGGCAGAGAGAAGGGGGAACGGGGAGCTCTGAGGATGGGCCGTAGTCTGCCTGTACCTCTCCGCCAAGGCTGGAGGTGCAGGAGGAACCAGCCGCGTTCCCTCGGCGGGAGCGTTGCTGTGTCTGGCTGCAGCGCTCTGTGGGATGCTCTAGAGAGGAGGGGATGCAGAGGAGGGGGATGCTCGCTGTGTCAGGGACTGCAGGAGAGGAGAGGGAGGAGTGTGCCTGCCTGGAAGGGGGAATTTCTTCCCTTATACACACAGGCCGATGCCTACCCTGCTGAAGCAGTTAAACTGGGGAGAGCAGCAGCCAGGCTGGCAGATTCCTGCCCTGTGATATGCCAGCCACAGGGTGACGCAAGGGCTGGAAGGCTCCAACTAAACAAGCCATTTCCACCTGCGTAATAAGCGCTAGTGGAGATACAGCAACAGCAGCAGCAGCAGCGGCTCCGAGTCCCCGCAGCCGGCCAGACTCCAGCGCGGCCGCAGCACCATCCAGCCCTCAGTGGCCACCGCAGCTTTTCCGGTGGCTCCTGCTGCAGCCTGAGAGCCGGAGACCAGCGGCCGCCTTGTAGGCAGCATGTCAGCCCCGCCGGACCCCCAGGACCTGCTGCTGGCAGGCACTGGGATACACTGGGCTGCAGACGGGACGGACCAGTATGCAACTGGGGCTCCGCTGCGGGATGGAGATGGGGCTCAGCAGCGGGAGCAGCTGGCTTTTGGATCCGCCAGGGAACACCCGCCCGTTGCCATGGCGACTGCATCCCCAGGTAAAAGGCGAGTGGTACTCAGGGATGCTCAACAAAGGGGCCCTGGCAGCAGCATCTCCTGGTTGTCTCGTTCCCGTCCCTTCTTCCGTTCTCCCAGCCTGGCTGCTCGGAAACATTGCTAACGAGTTAGTGAGTGTGTGTAGGAAAACAGAAAATAATGAGCAATTGCAGCCTTTGCAAATAATAATTTTTGTTGATGGAGGGGAGGGGGGATGCTGGACCCAGCCAAGTTCCCTAAAGCTCTTTGCAGTTTGCTAGGCACAGGATTTCCAGATTTCAGTCAAATGTTGGAGGGCATTTGGTTTCACCTGACTTGATGGGGCTCTGTCCTCATTTGTCGTACACCTGTACGTATCTGGAGTGACAGATCCCAAAGGAGTTACTTCAGCTATTCCCTGTGCACCTGGAATTCCTGTGTGGCCCTTTATGTTATTTTGACATGTAGCTTTTAATGCAGTGCCTATTTCAAAGTGTTTGTATATTTTCTGCATGCTTTTGAGGCACATCCATTTAATCGTGGACTTTTTGGTTGCAGTGTTTTCCTCTTGCTTTTTTAGTTGTATGTGACTTAAGGTGCATTTAGTTTAACTGGGGTCTGCAGTTTCACTGATTTTTAGTTTACTTTTGGGATGTATTTGTTTTCCCTTGGTTTAGGGTTCCTTTCTTTAGTGGGTGTGTTAATAGCAGGTGTAGATCTATTTATCAACCCCAGAAGGCTTCAGCTTCTGGTAGCTCCTGGAAGAAATATTTGGAGAATAATGACTCGGTTTCCTTCTTGGTAACACTTCTTTAATTTCTTTCCCATTGCTGCCCATCAGAGAACCCAAATAATCAAATAACCCAGACCTAGGGAAGCTGGTGGACCCCCCCTAGATTTCTCTTCACTGGGAAGTATATGTTTCCATTATACAACCTGACAGCATTAAACTTGTCTTGAGTAAGTTGAGGGTCAGTGGTTGGGACAGGAATTGGGCTCCATTATGCAATAGCTGCAGGAGCATTAGGAACTGCGTTTTTGGGCTGAGTCCTTTCTAATCCCCTCTAGTCAATCAGCACAAAGAGTGCTGGCCAGAAACAACTCAGTCTGCGTGACTACGTGCATTATTCCACTGATACCCATCTGTATGGTTTTGTCAGGGTCTGAGTGTGCATCTGTGTGGATGTGTGCTTTCAACATGGATGTTTCCCTGGTGCTTTTCTGTCTGCTTGATGCTACTGAGTTCAGTAGTAAAATGGGATCTAACGCCCATCGGCTGCTGTGGGAAATGTTTTGCTGTTTCGTAGCTTTGGGCAGGCAGCTAATCTGCTGATGTGCTGCTCATTCGCTGATCTGAGTGGTAGGTTGTGAAACGTGACTTTTTACTGGAGAGAGAGGCAGATGGCTTGTCATGTAAAGCTGTTCTAGGTGTGAGGGGCGTGTGTGTGAAGAGGGGCAGGATTGGGGTCTCCCAGTAGGTTTGCCTCTACATTATAATGACATAAAGAAGGGGGAAAGGATCTTGTGAGATTTTGTTGTTCACTGATGGATAAAAACATGGCCATGCTGAATCTTAGCATACAGAACAAAAAGGGGTGGTCTCTTAAATTGTGTAAATTCCCATTAAGTTGAATTGACTGTCATACTGCTTACATTTAAAAAAGGCTGCTTCAGGCTAAACCTGATCTGTAGATTCAGGCTTATAGAATACAAAATAGACAGAAAGAAAGAAAGAGAGACAGAAAAAAGAGAGAAAGAGAGAAAGAGAGAAAGAGAGAAAGAGAGAAAGAGAGAAAGAGAGAAAGAGAGAAAGAGAGAAAGAGAGAAAGAGAGAAAGAGAGAAAGAGAGAAAGAGAGAGAAAGAAAGAAAGAAAGAAAGAAAGAAAGAAAGAAAGAAAGAATAATAAGAAAACAAGAAAAAGAAAGAAAAGAAAAGGAAAAATAAAAAGAAAGAAGAAAGAAAAGGAAAGAGAAAAACTAAGAGAATAATTTTCTGCTTTTGGAATCCTCTGCAAAAGGGCTTTAGACACATTTTCTTGCATGTGTCAAACTGTGGCAAGGTGGAGACAAAGTGAGCAACACAGACCTTTTTTTTGGTGTTTGCTAGCAATGGATTGACAGACTGTCAAATTATCAATATCATCACAGTAGTAATGTGTTTTAAACGTTTCCCATTTTGTTCTCCCTCTTTAATAAAGTAACTGTTAATGTGGTTGTGTGTCTGTCTAGCTGACCATGGCAGACAGAGCAGCATCCCAAGCAGTGCAGTCCTGTGCACGCAGTCTCCTTTCCTGTTTGTGGCTGCAGCACCTGTATTTCTGTTCCACATCACACAGACAGCTACAGCGCCCGCTCCCTTCGCCAGGGGAAGTAAATAATTTCCCTGTTCTCTCTGTGTGACTAAATATTCTTAAGTTGCTTAATAGGAGGTCTGTCATGTTACTGAATATCTAAAACTGTGAAGTATTTCAGAAAACTCTTTAATTCTCCTGCTCGGGGGGGGGATTCCTGCATGTTCCTAAGCTGTAGGAATGGACCCAGCAAGGAGATCACAGAAGCACACAGAATGTTGGGGATTGGAAGGGACCTCGAAAGATCATCTAGTCCAATCCCCCTGCCGGAGCAGGAACCTAAATGAGATCACACAGGAAGGTGTCCAGGCGGGTCTTGAAT